GGGGGTGTTAGGGGGTGTCTGAGGCCTAGCGGGGGGGGTCATGTCCGGGGAAGGGTGGTCACTTGTTGGTGACAGTCCCAGCAGATAAAATGGCCTGTCACCCGCCCGCCAGCGGAAAGAAAAGGAGCCAGCTCCCAGGCAGAGCACAGCAAGGTTCGGGTTGGAGGGGGCCTTAAAGACCATGGGGTTCCACCACCCTGCCATGGGCAGGGACACCTCCCACCAGAGCAGGTTGCTCGAAGCCCCATCCAGCCTGGCCTTGAACACCTCCAGGGATGGGGCATCCACAGCTTTTCTGGGAAACCTGTTCCAGCGCCTCAGCTCCCTCACGGTAAAGAATTTCTTCCTGATATCTCATCTAAATTTCCTGCTGTTGCATTTGCTGGGGTGCCCAGGGGACAGCGGTGGTGGGGTGGCCATCCGTACACTGTCTCTCTTTCGCAGCCCCATGGCTATGCACATTAATCGAAATACCCGAAATTATATGCACATCGTCTGGCAGACAGGCTGGAGTTGCAAAATCTCACTGTCAGTGACTTTCAGCATCAAATCATCTCTTTGATTCTTTAACCAAGGCCTGCTTAGATAAGCCACCAGATAACCTTCAAATTATTATTCCGTTGTGACTCACCGCCCTGATAACCTTTATTGACAGCTTCACAAATCGCCCTCTGCTGATTAACTCATTAAGGCAAAGAAAGCGGGCTCTGGCCTGGAGGTTTTGACTTCAGGAAGCTTCTGTCTGGTCAGAATTAAGGGCTTTGTTCTCCAGAGATGGAAAAAATATATGCAAGTTGTCTTTCTGGAAATAAACGTGCCGGTAAACAAGTTTTCTGCTGTTTTTAATTCTATGGGTATACAAAGCAACGAGAGGAGTTATGCTGATTGGAACCAAGTAAGTTAATGGCTGTGTATATAGTTATGCCTCATCTACACTGGAGCAACTCTACAGACTCAGGTAATGTTGGGTGAGGGATTACAGTTTGCTCCTAAGCACACACAAAATAATATTGCTGGCTTTATATAAGATGCTGTGCTTTGGCACCTCAACAAAGGAGCAGAAGCTCTGCCTCGCATCTTAGGATTTCATTCTCCTTTTACCCAAGGACTTGGAAAACAGATGATCTCCTTTTGGTTTGAGCAGCTAATGAGGAGTTGGGGGGTTGTGATTTGATTCCGGCAGGGCAAAATACGAGTTGGGTATTCCTGCAGTTTGTGTACCTTGAGCACACCAGCACAGTGGGAGGTACTTTTCCTTCTCTCAAGTACAAGCCTGCTGTCCCCTCAGAAACTCTCTCCTGGTGTTTCTCCAGCTTTTCCACCCTCATTTCCTGCACAAACACGCAGCTGCAAGTCCAAGTGGAAACTTCAGCTGCTTCATTCGCAGTTAGCTCCCAAGAAAGTACTTCTTCCATGCTCTGTTGCTTTCTTTCCCAGTGCCTCCTGTTGCATGGAACCATTTTTTCCCATTCCATGACCATCAGATGCAGTGAGCTCTGTGACTGTCTCCAGCTCTGGGATTGTCTCTCCCCATGACCGGCGTGTGGAGAACTTTAGCAGCGTGGTAGGTATACCAGCAGCACTGCCATGTGGCATTCCTGTGGAACTTTCATCTCTGAGGGTTCCCAAGCACTTAGCAGCCTGTGTTTCCCTGCCCATGCACAGCCTGCTTCTTGAAAAGCTGTTCCTCCCTCCTCTGTCTTATTTCTTAATAAATGACGCATGCAGCCTTGGAACAGAGAGATTCCTGGCAGACACAGGGGTGCAGGTTGGATTGCTGGGAAGGGGTAGCTGCTCAGTGGGAAACGGTGGGTGTTTTTCCTCTCTTTGCTGCATCACAGAGAGGAACAGAAAACTACCGATCCTGCGGATCTCCCAAAGGACTTTGAAACAGTCAGGTCATGGAATCACAGAATTGTCAGAGATGGAAGGGACCTCTGGAGATCATCTAGTCCAACTCCCCTGCTAAAGCAGGATTGCCCAGAGCACATCACTCAGGACTGCATCCAGGCGGGTCTTGAAAATCTCCAGAGAAGGGGACTCCACAACCTCCCTGGGCAGCCTGTTCAAGGGCTCTGTCACCCTCACCATAAAGAAGTTTTTCCTCATATTTGAGTGGAACTTCCCATGTTCCAGCTTGTGCCCATTGCCCCTCATCCTATCATTGAAAACCGGTGAAAAGAGTCCGGCTCCATCATCTAACCCACCCTTGAGGTACTTGTAAATGTAGACAAGGTCTCCCCTCAGCCTTCTCTTCTCCAGGCTAAAGAGCCCCAGCCCTTTGAGCCCTTCCTCATAAGGGAGGTGTTCCAATCCCTTAATCATCTTAGTTGCCCTACGTTGGACTCTCTCCAGTAGTTCCCTGTCTCTCTTGAACTGGGAAGCCCAAAACTGGACGCAGTATTCCAGTTGTGGCCTCACCAGTGCAGAGTAGAGGGGGAGAATGACCTCCCTCAACTTACTGGCCACACTCTTCCCTATGCAGCCCAGGGTTCCATTGGCCAACCAGATGCTTTTCCCCCGGTCGGCTGGCTCCTGAGGTTTGTCTGTAGTGTTGTGGGACAGTTCCTGTGAGCAGGAGCAAAGATGGTCTTGTGGTGAAGTCACTTGGCAAAGGCTCAGCTCCCCAGCCCTGTTGCAGACTCCTTGTGATCTTATCTGTGCAGGTCCAAGCTGTGCCTTCTCCCCCTCCCCAGAGCTCACAGCTGTGAGTGTGCATGCTTGGCATGCTAACAGTGCTGAAATTAATTCTACTGGGAGAAAAACAGAAGGTGCAAAGCTACATTTCCATTAACAACATAATGTACTGTATTAGAAAATCGAGCAACCAGCCACTGTGCTGAAAACACCTTTGCATTTCATCTCTAATCACTAACTTATCCTCCCTCCCAAAGGATCAGGGTCCCCACAGGGAGTCTTTCCTGAGAGATGTCACTTGTTTCGTGGGGTAAGAAAATAACTAAATCCCTTCAGAGATGCGTATTCGCTGACACTGAAGCCCGTCCATTGCAATTTGTTTTCATTCCTCCAGAGGTGATTTTGTGCATTTCCTTTATTTTGTAACAGCCACGTCTCTAACTTTGAAACACCATCCTTCAGCAAAAGCCCGAGACAAGTGTCTAAACCTTGCATAAAACAATGCAGGATGAAGAGAGATATGCTGCAGTCAAAGCACTTGACAGAAATCACTGACTGTTGGTTTTTTTTTTCATGCTGACAGGAACTGCTGCTCGCAGTGAGAAATGCTGCAGTGACAAACTGGACTCCTGTGCAGACCTCCTGCGTCATCCGCTCCTCCTGGGCCACCCTATGGCAGACTCCAAACACAGCCCGGCTGCTAACTGCAAACCACCTTTGAAACAAAATATTTTGCAAGAATGAATGAGACCCTTCTTGTGCCTGTTTTTGCCAGGCAGATCATGAAGCTCGTTTGACTCTCCTCCTGACTGCTAGTGTTGACCTAAGACAAGCAGCAGGAATATAAAACAGGCACTTGTGAGAGTGAGGCCACTCTCATTAGGCTTGAACTAGGATATACTGGTCATAAAACCACGTCCTTGTGGACTCAAATGCCAAGACTTAAAAGGTAAGACCCCAAGTGTTTTTCTTCTTTTTAATCAGGACTGATGATTATTGAATGTTTGAGGTTGGAAATATTGAATCAGATTGACAATTCTCATACGAAAATGCCTTTGAAGTTTACATCATCTGTTTTCTTTGTGATCAGCAGTAACACGAAAATGGAGAGAATCAGCCAAGAGAATTAATACTTGTCCAGAACCCTGTGATGGGTTTACCT